CTTCATGTTGATTTTTGACTTCATGGTTGGGATCTTCTAATCCATTTCCTTCCTTGGATATGCAATCATTTACCTGCAACTTGGAGAAGGAGTCTTCTAGCTCTGACTTACTTTTGTCAGACTCATGGTTAAATTTTACATGAATGGCTTCTTCAACCTTCAAAGTTGTTGAGTTATATACTCTAAATGCTCTTGAAGTTTCTAAGTAACCAAGCATGATTCCTTCATCACTACGTGAATCAAATTTGTCCAAACTATCTTTTGTATTAAGAATAAAATATTGAATACCAAATGAATGAAAGTAAAAAATATTTGGCCTTTTGTTCTAACATAGCTCATATGGTGTTTTATTGAGGATTGGCCTAATGTAAACTCTATTTTCAATATAGCAGACAGTGTTACTGGTTCGACCCAAAAGTGTTTAGGAGTATTGAAAGCATTTAACATAGTTCTGGCCATTTAAATTTTGAAAAGATTCTTTGACCTGTTTGCCCTTCATGCAGGCACTACAAAAGAGTATATCATTAAATGATTCATTTGGCAGTCCTCTTACGAGGTTATGGCATTGCAACTTAGAGATTAATTTCATACTTGCGTGTTTGTAGTTATTATGCCACGTTATTGCATCGTCCTTCATAGAGACTAAAAATGAGACACTTTGAGACTGCAGTTCATCCAGATTTATTCTATCGAGTTACCTTGCCTATTAGCAGTAAATACTAAAGAATTATTACTATCTAATAGTCTACATTGGACATTTTAAAAAATAACATTATATCCACTATCACACAATTGACTTATGCTATTATGTTAAAGGTCATCTATTAACAAAACATTATCAATGGAAGGGGAAAGGTTTGTACCTATCTTTCCAATTCTTATGATTTTTTTCTTTTTGGTTTCCTCTGAATGTTACTGAACCTCCTTTCTTGTCCCTCAGGTTTAGGAACATACATTTTTTTCCCCGTCTGTTAGAATTAATGAACCTTGTTTCTCAACACCAAGAGGGGAGGGGGTGAATTGGTGTTTTATAAAAACATGCACTTTTCAAATCTTTTTCGCAAATATGAATGATCTTGAAATCTTTCTTGTGCAGTAAGCAAATATGTATGCAATGAAACTGGAAATGTAAAGAGATAAGGAGAGAAATTACAGTCAAGACTTTACAGAGCACACTCAAATGTAAACACCTTACAAACTCTCAAGAGCAAAATACACCTGCAAACTCTCAAAGTCAAGATCTCCTTATTCTTTTTACTGACACGTACGTCCAAGGAAACAACCACTCAAAGATTGCAAAATATTCTCCTGATCAAAATAGATGCACCTTCAGTCGTGCTAATGTGATCAGCCAATACGATCCAGTCAATTCCCTCTGAAGAATTCCTCAAGATTCTTCAAATGCTTCGCGTTCTTAATTCTTGGAGCTTTTGTTCAACCGGTAACACTTTCCTCATAGAGAATATCAGATATAACAATTTTCAATTGATCAACAGTTACAGAAATTCAAGCAATGCGTCAATATATAGTTTTTATCAGTTCTGACGAAAAACAATCGATTACTATACTCTTTGTTGAAGAGTATTGACATTATTCCTACTCTTATATACTTTATCTTTTAAGTTGTTTCAACGTGCAAAAAGTTTTGTACGTTGATTACATAAATTTTATATCTACATGAAAGTTTAGACGAATATGACAACAGTTCATAATATGCATTTCTTACTTACTATAGACCAGAAAAGTTTACCTCGTTATCAGAGTCGTCTGATGTACTTTTAGCACCTCCTACGACAAATCAATAGTACGTTTCAGTAACAAGACAAACATTCACAGAACGTTTATACCTTAGAAAATCGTAACACAATACTTATGCCTAAACAAAACATGAAGACATTAGGGAAAACACCAATCAGGAAGAAGTCTCTTACAGACTAAACAATATCAGTCAAACACATAAGCAAAACAATGGAAAAGCTTTGAATCCTGTACTAATCGTTAAAGTGTTTGAAAACAACAAAACAAACAGGAAATAGGACATACTTGTTATACATGCCTTTATCTTGTGCAGGAAAATTGTTAAAAACGTTCATGTACCTCATCTTATAAGTATCAAAGATGAACGTTGGAAGAAAAAGACAAATGACGACTTGATCATATTATCAAAAGTCGTGCCAAACAGATAAGGCATATCTACTTTGGATAAGAGCTTTGAAAAGCACGTCTACTCTAACAAAAGACTTCACCCTATGACAGAAAACCACACCAATAGCCAGAAAAGACTAATTATCAAGACAAGCTTCGTCAAACGGTCATATTATCTAATCTCAAGACAAGGTTTGTCAAACAGTCATATTATCAAATCTCATGACAAGCATCGTCATAACGACTATATCATCATGGTGTATAAATAAAAGACAAGAAGAAAAATGAATGATATAATGATTAGATAAGCTAAGCAACAAGATAAACCATCATCATTTAAGCAAAGAAATATCTTGAAGCTACTAAAAGCAAAAGTCCTCTAACCAAGGAAATAGTAGAAGAGATGAACTCAAGAAAAGAAAGATTCTCTCAAGCCTCATTGTTATATCCATTCATCTTGTGAGCGAAGATAAGAGAGAAAAATAAAAGAGAAAAAAGTTAAGCAATACTTTTAAGCTTCATTGTATTATTTGCTTACTTGTGTAAAATGAGAGCAAAGAGTAAGGAAAGAAACACCTACGAGTGTTTAAACTGCTTTGTATTGTAATCAAATCCTCTCTACGAGAATAATAGTCTAAATGACTTGTAACAATCAGTGCTTGCAATTCTACAGAGAATCAAAACACTTACAACTTGACTCTAGAGAGTTAAGGAAATCTAGGAAAAGTTGCTCAATACCAAGAGTGGTGCGAATACTCCTCCAAGTCTAAGGTAACAGATGGTTATTCGTTGACTGTGGAGACCAAGAGTGGTGAGAATAATCAACCAGTCTAGGGTAACAGATGGTTATTCATTGACTGAGGACACTAGGGTGGAGAAAATACTCTACTAGTCCAGGGTAACAAGAGGTTATTCGCTGACTGAAGACCAACCGATGAAAGGTAATTAACAACTACTTGTTGACTTGAAAACTAGGAGTGGTGCAAATACTCAACTGATCTAGGGTAACTGGAGGTTATTTGTTGACTAGGGATACTAGGAATGGTGAAGAATATTTCAAAACCAGAAGTGGGTGAAACTCAACTACACGATGTATCACAATGATAATGGAGTCGTCTATGAAAATCAGGAGTGGGTAAAGCTCAACTAGACTATGTATCATAATGATACTTTAATCATCTAGGAATACCAAGAGTGGTGAATACTACTATGCAATCAACAGTGAGTCAAACTCAACTAGTCAAAAGTAACGATGGTTACTCAATAGGACTACGAACAACAGGAGTAGTTTAAAACACTCAATTGTACATCATCGAATATCTAATGGAACCCTCTAAGTTAACTTAGAGGAGAATTGTATGTAGTCCTAACAGGTGAACCAGTATAAAACGTTGTGTGTCTTGGCTTGTTGGTAAATGATCTAGTTTTGGTTTAAGCTTCTTCACGCTCTCTTTCTCTATCAACAAGAGTCACTTAATCTAAAGTTACTTCCTACATACAATCCTTGGATACATTGACTTAGTCATGTAAATGATCTTACTAGGCTAGTGTTTACTAACAAGTTCAGCTAACTCACAAGTGATACGTACATCATGCATTGTTATCTAGTTTTGAGAAAGTCGAGAAAACATTATTTAACCCTCCCCCCCTCGCTTCTAGTTTTCTCTTGCACCTTCAAAAGTAGTTCAAGTTGAGTGAACCAGTATAAAAATACTTGTGTTATTGCTTCTCTTGTTTAAAATCTTTTCTTAAATGCTTTACTGAAGATACATACGTCTAACAATTCTTGCAGACCATTTAACCTCTACAATAGTCATTAAGCATTAAATTGCAAAAACGTTTAAAACACTATTAAACCCCCTCCCCTCCCCCCATTTTCTAGTGTTTTCCTACATTTCAACAATAATTTACAATAGGTTTATAATAGTAAAATTTTTGAAATCGATATCGCGCGCAGCGGAATGATTAGAAGCGTGTTCGAACAAAAACCAAGAGGGGAGGGGTGAATTGATTCAAGTTAAAAATCACTTCTTTCTAACAGATTTTTGCTTTTAAAATTTCTTTAATGAAACTGAAAAAATTACTTTGAATAAAAGCAATTAAATAAAGGAGAGGAGGGAAGAGAAAAATTACACACGTAATTTTTATACTGCTTTAAATCAAAAGAGCTTACATCCAGATGTTAATCTATTCAAAAGAGGGACTAAACTTTCCACTAAAATAAGTAACAATTTAGAATATGATGGCAGGCGATGGTGATCAGGAGGAAGAAGAACCTGATCCTAGATGCACACAGCCAGTCAACATTAGCAGGAGAGCTAGTGGAGGTCTAGACCAGATGGGTCTTGGTGATGTAGAGTAGCAGATGAAAGGAGACTCACCTTGATTTATGTTTTATTTTTATCGTGTTATTTAAGTATCATTTGTTATTGTGTTGGAACTGTGTTTATGTGGATTTTGTAATTTGGTTTAAGACAATTTCACATTTTGATTTAATGAATGATGTGCGTTTTGATTAAGTGGTATGATTTTTCAAGATGAGAACATGTATGATTGTGGTGCATTGTGCTTAAACTGTGATCTTGTGCATGAGTTGAACTATGACTAAATACTATGGAGTGTTTGAGAGCATGATTGAGAGGATACAAATGAGATGATAAATTTGTTTTGGATATGGAATTGATTTTTGCATGATTGTGATTCTACATACACACTTTTGGTTAAGAATGAGAAAGGCGTTGTTCTTGTTGATTGTATAGCTACTTGGCCAAATAGCCAACCTTCATACATCATATATTATACATTTGTGAACCTTTTTTTACCACATCATCCAAAACCTCTACTCTAAAACAATTTCATCTATCTCTCGGGTGTTGTATTGCTTCCACAACATTGAAAATTATTGTCTCATCATGCAACCTCACCTTAAGATTTCCATCATCAACATCAATTATCACTCTAGCAGTTTTCATAAAAGGTCTACCAAGTATAAGGGGGACTTCAGTATCCTCCTCCACTGGAAAAGTGAATTTGTCAACTTTCACTAAAACATCTTCAATGACTCCATATGGGTCCTTAATAGACATGTCTACTAGTTGAAGTATCATCCTTGTTGGTTTTACTTCCATGTCCCCTATTTTCTTTAACATAGACAAATGCATCAAATTTATACTTGCACCTAAGTCTATCAATGTTTTTCCAATGGGGAGTTTTCCAATTGTGCATGGAATAGTAAAACTTTCAGGATCTTTGAATTTTGGTGGTAGAAGTTTTTGGATGATGGCACTGCAATTCCTTTGCACCTCAATTGTGTCTTCTTCAATGTACTTTCTCTTCTTGGTCAACAAATCCTTCATAAATCTGGCATAAGAAAGCATTTGTTGGAGTGCTTCTGAAAAGGGAATTGTGATTTCTAGCTTTTTGAAAAGAGCCATGAATCTATAAAATTGGCCTTCCTTTTCCTTTCTTGATAAAATCTTTGGATAAGGTAAAGGTTTAGCCACTTGTTTCTCTTTATGACTCTCTCCTTCTTTTTTCTTTTCATTTTCTTCCTCAACTTCCTCGTCTTTCTCATCATTTAATTTTTCCATCTCATCCTCCTTCCTCACAACTACTCCTTCTAACACTTTACCACTCCTTGTAGTTATAGCTTTGTAATGTTCTTTTGGATTTGGTTCAATGTTAAATCCAAATGTATTTTCAGGCTTATCTTCTAATTTCTTGGCCAATCGACCAATTTGAACTTCTAAATTCCTTATAGAAGATTTTGTGCTTTTTTGGTATGATATGGACATTGGCATGAATTGTTGAAGAGTTTCTTCAAGTTTGAATGTCGTATCAGATAAAGAAGATTGTTGTTGATATTTTTGTTGTGGTGGTCTACTAGAAGAACTAGCCTGACCCATGCTAGGATGAGGTCTCCATCCTTAATTATAATTTCCTTGACGACCTTGGTTTCCCATGTAATTTACCTCTTCCTTAGCATTGGACTGAATAGCATATTGTCCATTTTGGTGATCTCCACCACACAATTCACAACCTTGCACAGCTTGATGATGTTGAGCCTGAGAAACTATTTACAGCTCTTTTGGTAATTGAGACAATTTTTTCATCAAAGATTCAAGTTGTTGAGTCATGATTTTATTTTGGGCAATAAAGCATCTTGGGATTGCAATTCAAACATGCCTTTCTTTTGGGATTGAACTATTTCACTTTGAACATCATTATCACTAGATGCCATATTCTCTATTAACTCGTGAGCCTCATCAGGTGTCTTCCACCTAATGTTACCTCCAGCTGAGGCATCTAGCATTAGCTTAGTGTGAGATTTTAAACCTCCTAAGAAAAGGTTTAATTGAGTAGGCACATCAAAACCATGTATTAGGGTCTTTCTTAACAAGTCTTTAAACCTATCGCAAGTTTGACTCATTAGGTTCTTGTTGAAAGGATGAAATATCTTGCTTACCTTTGTTGATCTTAGATTGAGGGAAATATTTATGTAAGAATTTTGCCACAACATCCTCCCACACAGTCAGACTTCCTTCAGGAAAATAATTTAGCCAAAGCTTTGCATTTCCAGGCAATGAGAAGGGAAAAAGACTTGTCTGATTGCTTCATCTGGCACATGAAGAATTTTCACAGTATTACAAATCTCTAAAATTTTTTCCAAATGAGTGTAAGGATTTTTGTGTGACAGTCCATGAAACTGATTGCTTTGGACAAGGTGAATCAGAGATAGCTTCATTTCCATATGAGCAACATTGACAACAGGTCGGGCTATACTATTGAAAGTTAAAGGTATAGACACTGAAGCATAATCCTCCAAAGTACGCCTAACTTTATCTTGTCCATCCTCTTGATTTCCCGCCATATCCTTATCTTCTATATCCGAAGAAGAAAGAGTATTGGAAGTAGAACTCAAACTAGCTTCTCTAGACTCTTTTTTCTTGTTTTCTTTCCTACGCCTATTGTTATTCCTACGGGTTGTTCTCTCTATCTCAGAATCAAACAACAAATTTTCAGATTTTGTTATGATTCTCATGCAGAACAAGCAAAGCTCAAAGAATCAACCCAAGGAAATAACAAAAAGAAACAAAACACAAACTATCTACAAAAATTAAAACAATGGATATATACAGATAATGGAACAAAATTGAATTTGATAAACAATCAAACAATTGAAATAACAATAACAAAATCAAATTCCCCAGCAACGACGCCAAAAACTTAATGAACGTTTGGAAAGTGTACCAACTTGTTACAAGTAATACAATGAATAAGTAAAGTATTCTCTCCCAAGGGAATTTGAGTCACATTATTTAATCAAGCTTGTTTATCAAAATCAATATACTGATGATAGCATTTGATTTCAAATTTGGAAAATTGCAAGAAATTAACAAACGTAAAAATTTAAGATTGTAAAATTGAATAAAAGATCATTGGAATTGGTGCTAGACTAACATTATAGTAACATCTTGCACAATATATTTTCTAAATTCAAGCATTCACATTAACGTATCTTGATTTAATTCCTTAAATCAAGTTCTAAAATCATCTATTAAATTATTAATTCCTTAATTAATTTAACAGATAACTTTGCATTAAAATCTGATGTTAAGAATGACCAGAAGATCGGAAACTATTCCTAGCATCGTTACTTTTGGTTGTTTTTCTTACTTTTATGTTCTAAAAATACTTTCTAGTTCAAAAGAATGTTTAAATCAAATTATACTTCCGTATAATCATAAGCAAGTCAAGAAAAACACATGAATATAGACATATATTGCACAGGAAAATTACATCAATGAAGACTCATACAACAAATTCCAATGAACAGAAAAACTAGCCTTTCCTAGTCATCTAGAACATACTCTTTACAGCAATTCCTTGCAGAAAGTGAAGTCTTGAAGCCTTTGAGTGTATCCTGATCGTCTCCTGAAATTCTCAAGTATTTTTCGTGCCTTGTTTTGTCAAAAGATGGGTTCTCTCTTTCTTTCACGACTTTTAAACCAACATCATTTAATTAATTCGCTTAGCGCACAAGTGTGTATGCGCTGAGCGAATTTCTCAACTGCTACTCTTTAATTGTTGTCATTCGCTCAGCGCATAGTGCTAGTGCGTTGTGCGAAAAGTCTTCCTTCATGATGTGTGATTGATGTCTTGCACTTAGCGAAAATTGGCTGACAGCACTCCAAATAATGTAAACTTTTCTATACAATGTTTACACAACTTTCTACTTCCTATTACAACTTTTCAATGAGGAACAACATGAACAATTACAAGATTGAGCTCATTTATAAGTGTAAAAATAACTATTTTTCACACTTATCACATTCTTTCTGGGATAATCGATTATCCTAAGTGATAATTGACTATCACATAGACTTTTATGAAAAATAAAACTTTTTCTGAGTGCTCTGCTTCTTAGAGTTTACTATTGACACTTGAACTACTAAATTAATTACAGTGCACAGGTTACAAGTCTTTAACACTAAATTATTAAGTCTTCAAAGTATTTCTTGAAATCTAACGCTTCTTTAATTCTTCAACACTTCTCAATAAAACATCATCATCAAAATCCTTAATTGAAGTAAGATGCCCATCTTCTTCTTTTTGCTAACAAAAATGATTTCATAAAGAATTTCACAAACAAAGTTTTAAAAGAATTCTCCTTCTTTGAGTTATTGCAACTAATATAACATGCCATATGATAGATTAAGGGAGAAAAAATTATTTAGTATTCTTATACTAGTTCTCTTAATAGTGCATACTAGGTATAATTCTTTACCAATTAATCAAGTTTTACCAAGTAGACTATTGTTGGCCAACCCCATATGAATATTATTTTTGGACCATAATCACTCATGGCTAATTATGTCAAGTACTTTTTGACACTTAGTACTCATGGCTAAAAGTCTCAAATATTCTTTTAGATTGTATCCACTCTTTACTAACCTCGTCGAGTATTCTTTTCATAACAAGTCACTTATGGCTTAACCCAAGTATTTTTATAACATGTCTTGTTTGACATAACCCAAGTATTCTTTCAACAATTCACTTTTTGTTTAACCAAGTATTCTTTTAATAGTCTGACTTAACCAAGTACTATCTCAATAAGTTACTTTTGGTTTAAGATAAATAAAATGTCTTTGTGATCAATAAACCACAATTGCTCACTAAAAAGAGATAATGTATTTGGATGTTTAAAAGATTGGACACTAACTACTAATGCTAAAGACATAAAGTTAGTTTTGGGGCATAAAAAATGTTGGCAGCACTTTAGCACTTTTCTAATGTGAGTTTTGTCTTCTTCTTGAATGACTTTATATAGGCTTAGATAAAAAAATTTGTTACAAATCCCTTTTTTTATTGTTTAGTTCATTTGAGACTCATTTGAGTGTTTTCCTTATATATGATGAACTTTAATCATAGTGATGGACGAGTGACTCCGAGAAGTGACCAAAGGCGCGACGCGGACTCCTCGAAGCTTCTCCGACGAGTGAAGAC